GACGAGAGGTTCTGATGCCAAATCGCTGCATAGATGAAATTTGGGTTGTTAGATGTTTTAGTTTGAGACGTCTTTGGATTGAATGGAATAGTAAGTTGGATATAATTAATGATGGCTAAAAATTAGAGAAATATCAGGAATTGAAGATTTAATTTTTTTTTACCCCCTTTTGGGCGAGTGTGTATCAACCTAGGTACACCTTGCAAGGTGTACCTAAATGCTCTATATTATAATTGCAGATTTTATGTGGATAGACATTTATTAGACATTTTTTAATCATCAAATTATTGGTGTTTTTCAGGTTCAGTGTTTCAAGCTTGCCAGGATAACTACTTTCATATTCAAGGAGTCGCATGGGATCCTTTGAATAAATAGTTAGCTTCACTCGGTGGAGACAAAAACTTCCGAGTTTATCGTGAGAAGCAAGATAAATCCATGTATCTTTGTCATCGTCACATAGAGGAAGTAAAGCTAAAACAAACAAGTGAACCTTTGGGTAAGAAGAAACAATACAGGTTTCACAACGCTTCACTGCCATCTTTTGTTTCAGAGATTAAGCTAGTCACCTGATAGTTCGATTTTGCTCGTACCTGGAGGTATGACAATAGTAATATTGTGATATTGTTTCTGTCGCCATCTGCGTTATTGACCCAAAACTTACAATGACAAGACTTAAAAATAATACTAATTATATGGGGCAATCTAAGTCGAGAATATATTGTGGTTTGATTAGTAGATGTTTGCTTAGATATCATTTGAGAAATACATTTATGTGAAAGTTGTGGTACCCTTAGAGCTACCCTTTGTTTTTTTTGCCCAGTAAGTTTTTCATTTTTTTTCCCTTCCTTTATTAATGTTACATGTTGGACAAGATTAAAATCCAGCACCACAATGCACAATTTATCAATGTTGGTTTTTTTTTTTTTGTTTTGTTTTATAGAAATTTAATGATTTTGCATTGCGAACCACTAAATTTTGGCTATTTTGTTTCATTTAGGGCTGAAATATTGATGCTTCCTCGAGATGACGTACCAGTTGTGGCGGTGCGCTTTTGTCAACAACCCTTGCAAATCCAGACGCTATGTAATATTCTAATACTCTTGTGTTCTAATTATTTTGCTGTTTCTCATTGTTTACATTCTGATGGAATCTTTGTCGATACTTGTATAGCTGGTTCCTCTGGCATGTCTCATCGATATATCTTTGCGGTGGCTACTACGGAGAGGACATTTACGTCTATTGCACAAAGAATTTCAAAGAACCAATTGCCATATTTGATGGAATTCATACATGGTTACCGATAACCGACATCACCTGGTATATATATCATGTTTATAGAAAGTTTATTGTTAATTGTTTCAATAGTAGTGTTGGTGAAATATGTTTTGCTTATTTTATCATTTTTTAAAATATGTTTAGGTCAAGTGACAGTAGATATTTGGCATTATCATCAAGAGAGGGCATTTGTGACATCCTCGAGTTCAGGACAGAGGAGTTGGAATTAGGTTCAGATATGTTTTTTTGTTTGTTTGTATGTATTAACTTTCTTATAATCACGCATCATGGTTTATTCCATTCCCTCAAAATTTTTAAAATATAGCTCAAGAATAAGATATCTGGACAACTGACATAAATATGCATATTGTGATATGATATTATATTGCAGGGAGATCATGGTTTATTTCAATTCCTTAAAATTTTTAAAATAATAGCTCAAGATTAAGATATTTGGACAATTGACTTAAATATACATATTGTGATATGATATTATACTGCAGGGATTGAGGAGGCACCTGCCCCTCCTACTGAAGAATTGGTAAGATCTCACAATTAATAGACAAACGGCCAGTCTCAAAGACTCAAGGTCATATTCCTTGTAAAATTTGTAATCAATTATATCCATCCTGAAAAGGTTGTGATGAATTGTACCCCATGTAAAAACTGAAAATTTGTTAAAAGATTTTTGATTAATTATTACAAAAGATTACAAAGAACAGAAGGCTAGTGTCAGATCATGGGCATCATATTAGCACCATGGCTTCTTAGTCCTTTTCTCACCCATTTTTTTGTCATCACAAATCAACCATAAACAAGGATCCCTACACCACCTAACCCACTGGCCAACCCTCCCAACCTGTTTCATTTTACAGAACTAATTAAGAGATCTCAGGGATGGAGACTCTGTGAATTGATCAACCATAGCAAACATGGCCAGTGATCTACAACTACAATTGTATATTGACCTGTCAATCGTAAGGTGATATTGCTGACTTGCTAGAACTAGAAGGGGAGAAATATATTGATGCTAAATTGAAGACTTTCTTCACACCACAAGCAGTAATTCAACATTTTCAAACTTTGAGGTTGTTATGTTTTCCTATATAAAAATAATTGTCCGATTAATTTATTATATATATACTACTATTTGTTTTTAGTTCTACTTCACAATGCACTCACTGAGAAACATTTTGGCATCAAAGTGGGACAAGAATTTCAAATAAATACTCTATGATTAATTCCATGATCCTTCCTCAAATTAAGGTCAAATTCTTCAACATCCCAAAAAGTGATGCTAACCCATTGCCACAATCATCTTTTTTGTTTTTTCCTTTCTGGACAAAAATTTCCAGTGCCTTTGTTCGTCACGTTTTCAGTTATATTACTAAAGCCCCTCAGCTACCTAATTCGATGCTTCGACTCCACAAACTTTTCATTGAGAGGCTTCCTTCTTTATGAATATTCATCTATCCAGCCACCAAATTTGCACTCTCTCTCACCATTAAATTCATCGATCTGGTTCTATAGTACCACAGCAACAAGCCAAATCCAGAATATCCACATGTTTTCAACCAAAAGAATTTAAGTCCAATGAAGATAAGATGCACCAGGATTAACTACACCACAGTCACCACACTCGATTCTAATAAGTTAGATATTTGAAAATCGTACCTTGATCGACAAATAGAACTTCATTTTTATGTTAAAGTTGTTAATGACTTATTTTATGTAGTAACAAAGTTTTAAAAATAAGATGATTTTTATATATGATGAGAGGAAGAGTATATATATATTATTATCACATAGATAATTTTACCTGACCTAATAATGCGTCCTTCTCTCTCTCTCTCTCTCTCTTTTTTTTTTCTTGAAAGTGCCAATTTTGCGAGTAAATTAATAGCTATTTGCACACTGTATCCAACTACGGTATTATGCAAAGCATACGACAAGAGCACAAATACAAAACCCTACAAGATTTTTGAAGACAACGTACGTACCTAATTTTTTAGCAGCAACCGAAAAAAAAAAGAAGAAAACAAAAAGACTTCCAATCATTCCAACCAAATTATAGTGGGATGACTAGGACATTGAAAATGCCTACATTTTCTTTTTCCTTAAACTTGATCAACAAACTTTTTAAAATTATATCTGTTCTGTCTGTTTTTTTCCTTAAAAAAAAATAGTTTATGTATTTTTCGATGACTATATCTATTCATAAACCAGCTTGGACTCCGGTCTTTGTAAGCAAAGTGTCACAGCAACAGTCACAGATCCACTGCATCGGGTTTTTATTATATCGTATTTTATGTAATAATTAAATATATTATTTTTTAAAAAATTTTGAGACGAAAGAAATATATTCAATTGTTTTATGTAATTTATTACTCGATGAGTACTAACAATATCCATGATTTGAGGAGGACTCATGATCGACACAATTAGCCCACCATCTGATCGAATCTTTGTTAATTCTGAGATGGCATCACGGAGCTTCGTTCAGATGGACCCATAAGAATTTTGGAGTTCAATTCAATTGATTGTCCTCGTCATCACTCAGCTGCGGCCTAAATGTTGAATTCCATGTCAAATGTGTCTGTTAGTTTTTCAACCACTTGTCTTACATGATTTATCACAAGTTATTGCAAGATTTTCATTATGTAATGATACAATATGTTGACGATAATTTTTTTCTTTCAGAAAACCCTAATTATAGTAAAATAAATTTAACCAATACTTTTTTACTCTATCATATTCATGGACTATTGTTATACACATTTCAGTCCAAAAGCAAAGCTTATCATACAGCTGATTTAATTTAATTCACTTAGATGTAACTCTTTAATTATTTGAGACTTAAAGAATATTAACTTTATTATATACTCCCTCCGGTCCTTATTATAAGGCATTTGATTTCGTCCTATGTTTAACTTAAAATGTCTTTTTAATTGAAATAAAAACCTTAAAAATATTTCATAATAATTACAAGAACACAACGAATGTGAAAATATATTTTTAAGATTTTTTTTCAATTTAAAAGACATCTTAGGTTAAACCTAAGACGAAATCAAAATGCCCTGTAATAAGGACCGGAGGGAGTATTAAATTTCATTCACTTGCAAGATTGTAATAAGTGACTAAGAAGTGTACACTATCGTACTATAAGAATTATTGTTTATAACAATCTATATCAAATCAATCACTATATGATTTTTGTTGATCGATGCGAGACTTATTACACTGGCGTCACATGATACATCCAAGCTGCGGACAGCCGGACACTACAATATGTCGTTTGCTCAATGATGTAAGAAAAAAAGAAGTAAAAAATAATGATAGCACCAATCCAAAAAGAAGAAAAGACAATATTACATTATTAAATTAAAGTTTTTTACTTCGGCGTGATAAACCCTGCACCAACAAAGTTAGAGGACTCGCTAAAATACGTTACATATATATATAACTGGTGGTAGGGGTCCTCCTTTTGCATCTTCCTTTCAGCTTTCGTGATTCATTTCGCCATCTTTTTTCCCCTCTCTAGCTCCTTCCTCTATAGCATAGAGAGGGAACCCATAATTCAGTGTTCATTCTACTTGGGATGGATATTATTTTACCTTATGAACTCTAAATATTTGCGCTCTATCATTCATTAGTCGGTTTATGTTTTCGGGTCGATCAGAAGAAGCCATTGACACCGGAGAGGGAAGCTTTCTAGTACTATAGAGATGGCGTTGGAAGCAATGTTAAGGACTTTTGGTAGCGGCAGCATCTCACAAAGTAAGTTGCTTTCTAGGGTCACTTTCTTCTGAATTTGACATATATATTTCTATTATACTACTACCATTTACTACTACTAAACAACCTGTTCTAAATCATTACTCTTCATATATGTTGAATATATAATATTATATATTGACCTTTGGTTGGATTTTGAAATTGTACCAATTATCAATGATTATATCTATATACCATATATAAAAAAGCAACTTACTGGATCTCTTCTCATTTTGGGGACGAAAGAATAAATTTCTTTATGTAAGCTTAGAACGTTTGGATTATTTTTTTTTTAGTGTGTGTGTTTTAGGTGTTTTTTCTATTGGGAATGTAAAAAGGTATATTGGAAATGTAAAAAATTATGTTAGAATGGGACAGTTATTAATATTTAATTATGAAAAAACGTAGTAAAAAACAAACCAAACAGAGTAATTTTTTTGTACTGCAAACTGCCATGCATCTTGCGAATGAAGCTGCTGGAAATGAAAGAAAAGTTTCTCGCAGCAAATTTTTGGTTTTTGTTTTTTTTGTTGTCACGAACTACGTCTTGCTTCTTTTTACTCTCATAGATGGAAAATTGCTGCATGAAATTGTCTACCATCAAAATTCAAAAAGCTAGCCAAAAAACGGGTGTCAAAAAGGATGTCGAGTTTGTCCTTCTTTTTTTTCCCCCCTTTTTCACGTAAGAGAAAAAGGTGTGTGAGAAGAATTTTTCAAAGAAAATATCAGAAACAAAGAGGAAAAAGTTTTGGATTTTAGTGAATGAATATTGTTGATTTAGATGTGTTTTCTTCTTCTTCTTTTTTCCCCCTTTAGTAACGAAAAAAACTAAAGCTAACTTTTCTCCTTGAAGAAAAACAGGAAACAAGGAAAAAGGAAAACTTTTAAAACCGATTTCTGTTGTATCAACAAACACCTCAAGATGGGTATTTTTTTTTTTTTTATTGAAGATCTTGAAAAGATTAAATAATGTGAGATTACATAAATAAGAATATCTACCCAAACATTCCATTATTTATCCTACTTTATAATCTCGATATTTTATTTTACTACTTTAGGATATGTTTGTTTCGTTTTTTTAATGTGTGTTTTTATGTGTTTTTTTTATCGAGAATATAAAAAAGTACATTGAAAATTTAAAAAGATATGCTGGGATGAAACAGTTATTATTTTATTATTACGAAAAAAAACTATCCAAAAAACAGAACAAACAAAATCTTAACTTTCTTGGGATGTACTTACGTTACCTTCCGGCATAACGTATAGTCTGTTGAATTAATAGCACAAGCAACAAAGTGATACTACTAAGATCAAACGAAATGCGAGTGATTTTAGTGGAAGAAGAGTAAAGCTGCAAATTAGATGTGCTAAGACGGGATCCAAGACCTAACACGTCCAAAATGTAAAAAAGTTGGGGGAATATTCTGACAAAAATACTCACAGAATTTAGTAAATACTAACTGACATATAATAAGGCAAGAAACTTTTACAGAGAATAAACCCACTGTTGAATGGTTGAAAAACATGAGCATGAGCATGTGTGTGTGTGTTCTGATCCCAGATCTAGCTAGACCATACGATTACAATTGTTTTCTTCTCCACTTTGAGGGCTTTTTTTGGTTTTCTTTTTTCATTCTCGAATTTATCAATATTACTATAAAAAATAATTATAAGGCCTTGTATGAATTTTTTTTAGTGATTTACTGCCTTGAGGAAAAAAATTTAGTCAAAATAATAATTCAATATAGGTTTTTTTGTTTATTTATTTATTTATTTTTGTTTTTGGGATGAAGCAAATATATCTTACTATATTAGAAACAAAAATCACACTTAGGAGAAAGCACCACCATTTGCCATGTGGCATTTCCATATCATATTTTTAAAATAAATTTTTATTTCCACATCTCCTAAATTTAAAAAGTAAATGCAGTCTAAATTCACTTCCACCTCCTATTTTCGTCAAAACAAAAAAAAAAAAAAACAAAACCCACGGGTTCATAAAAAATCCAAAGCCCCATCCTCTTCTCCACGACAATCGACTCCTTAATCAATCCCTTCTCCACAATTAAAAAAAAAAAAAACAAATTCCTCATCAATCATCAATTGAGAATATGTGGTGAAATATACTACTTTCCTATTAGCATGTTCAATCTTTTCATTAGTGATGATCAACTACATCTTAATCGGATAAAATTTCAACTTCAAAAAATATTCTCTTTACCTCTCTATATAAACACAAAGGAAAAAGAAATTCTCATTGATCTTGCTTCGGCCGTTGTGGTGGTGCCATTACAGGTATTAAAATTTAAATGATTTTATTTTCACAGATCATTGGTTTGGCTTTTATTATTTTTTGTTTTTCCAGTTTAAAAATAGTGTTATTACTATTATTTTTATACGTCCATCCATTACAGCTACCGTAGCCGTTGTCAGGTAGTATGATGTGATTTCTTATTTGGTTAGTTAGCCTAGAATTTTTGTATGATTTTAGTTATGTTTGAATTGAATTGATTGATTGGATTTTTTGTTACAAAGTGTGGTTTTTTAAATTTGTTTTTTTATGTTTCATTCAATTAGAGTGGTTTTCTTTAATTATGGAGTCTCAGATTTTTCTTTTCGTATATGGCCAATTATGAAGTGTGTTTTTTCTTTGTTGAATTGCTTTTGATTTTGTTTCATACTCTCAGTTGACTAATTATTATTATTATTATTATTATTATTATTATTATTATTATTATTATTATTTTATTTGCAAATGAAGCACTTTTTTTTTGTGTTCGTGGTTTCAAGAATATACTTTTTTGGATTTGGTTTTTGGATTTTTTTTAGTTCCTCATCATATAAATAGTTCATGTCACTTCTTTTAACTAATTTATGGGGAATTCTTTTATGAATTTGAGGTGAAGAGGGAATGAATGATGTTTCTACGTTTATTTGTATTTTTATACATCATTTTTACCTAAAGAAAAAATAAAAATTCTCAAATTTTAATGGGCTATCTTTTACTTTTTTTTTTTATTTATTTGCCATGGTGAGGTGAGTTCTTTTTTGCTATATCTTGAAACCTATGCAAATTTACATTATTTTCTTTCTCATATTTGTGATCAACCAGTTTCAACAAGTAACCAGTGTCAAAATCATATTTTTGATATTTTACTATCTATAAACTTTTGGAAGAAATAGTTCCAACAATTAAGCGTATACCCTTTGGAGGAAGCTAACTACAAAGCTATTATAAATCTCCAAAACTAAGTATTGATTTGGCACAACCAATAGAGAACATCAATAAATTATCTTACTAATATTTAAACTTATTAGGATACTTTTATATTTTGTCTAGCATTTACTTCAAGACATATATTTGATCAAGTTTATTTATATTTAAGAAGTAACACTTATAAAATATTTCTAAAATCTTCAAACATCTTTAAAACGTACTGGCCAAATACAATTTATTTTTTCCCCAAATACAAACATCACACTTATAAAACATTTCTAAAATTTTTCAAATATACATTTCTAAAGTTCTTCAAATATTTCTAAACTATATCGAGCCAAATACAAAATATTTTTTTTCCAGATACAAACATTTCTAAGATCTACAGATATATTGACATCACTAGTTCATCGTATACATACTGACAATGACTGGCGTCAACTTTCTTTCAATCATATACTTTTCATATTAATTCTTTTTTCAACTTTCTTTCTGATTTTTTCTTTCCAATCATACCTTTTTTTTATTATTATTATTAATATATAGTATCCACGAAATAGTTATTATTATTTTTTTAACACTTCATAGTTCCTTTTCTAAGAACATTATTCTTCTCACGATCTATTCAATGTTTATGCTAAATTGATTAGTGGACCAATTTGATGTCTATGAATTAATTAATTAATCATATAAAAATATCACATTCTTGTCCCTCATCTGTGTCCTTTGTACTTGGCGGTATACCCTTCTTATACAGAGAATATTATGATCCCGGTAAGACGATAAAATACGATATAATATCACATGATACCGACTCTCCGATTTACAAAAACAAAAACAACAAATTTGTCTGTCCACTAATATGTTACTTTATTATAAGATAACTTTTAAATATTATTTTCCATATTCAACAAACTCCAAAACTAAATCTCACAAGTTAAAATATCATAGTACATATACAATCTGAATTATAGTACTAATAGAAATCTAAATGAGTTAAAATAATACTAGATGCTTGGCTCAGGCAGATGTCTGGGCGCCACCTCTAAATTACTATTTTATTAAAATCTAATTGAATTACTATTTTTTGAAGAATTAATTTGGCGTATATATCATTTATGCTATGGTTTGGGGCTTAAAAAATTATACCTATAAATTTGAGGTTATAAGGGAATAATAAATAATTAGTTTATAAGACATTATTCTTAATTGCTGGATTTAGGTATTTTTATTTTTTGTTTATATTAAGCCTGCAAAACTGTACGATTGGACATTTGAATTTAAATTAATATATCAATTCGTTTGAAATGTAACTAATCCTTATTTGTAGAATTTTTTCATTGGACTCAGGTTACATCTAAAACATGTGTTCTTTTAAAAAAAAAAATTATATAACTTCTAATTAAAAGAGACTTACATGTGGCAAAAAGACTTTTGAAATCTGAAATATGATGCATTGGAGCCAAAACAGATGCATACTTAGTTGCCACATAAACTTCATGTTTTCTGCTTTAATAGAGTAAAAGGGATTCCTTTTCTGTTCCATATTATTAATAGTCGCCACTTTGTTGAAATATAGTCGCCAGATAGGCCGCAGTCAATGTTCTCTGTCACAGAACTGATTAAAATTTGTTGCATGGGAGAGGATTCCCATGATTGAAGATCATCATAGTTTTACTCTGAAGATCAACAAACCTCGGACATTTATGATTAATGTTGATTGTCAGTGTCACACAGTCGATTTTTGGTCTTCTTCCAACGTTTGGATTCCCGATTTGTTTGTTCTAAGGGAGTTTTAGTAATTCCATCTTTGAATTCAGCTCCATTATTACTCCGACGTTTTAATCAGTTCTGATTCCTAAGTGGGTTATTCCGATCGAGTCCAGTAATCCCAGAAAAGAAAATGGAAGAATTTTTCCGGGCTCTTATTCGCCATTGTCACAAAAAAAAAACTCCATCATGAAATGAACCGTATGATATTTTCTTTGTTTTTTCATGGTTTCGATTTTGGGTTCTTTTGTTTGAATTCTCCTGATTCATTTGAATGACAAATATTCACAATGAAAACCATCTTTTTAATATTTGTTCTTGATTCCATGACAGGTCCTAAGTCTCTTCAGTTTCAGATAGCGTGGGAAGAGATGATTTCTTCACCCTGTTTACTGGAAGATGCCAGCATTGTGATACAGGGTGGTTTCCTACTAGTTTTACTCCTCCAATTCATATGTAGTGTTATTAAATCATATTTCAGAGGCAGGAAAAAAATTATCAGTGCTGAAAAATATGCAGTTGGAGCTAAAGTTGGCCTGAGTTACAAGCTGACCATTATTTGTTCCACTTTACTGTTTGGAACTCATTTCCTTTTGCTGCTGATGCTTCAAAGTGATGGCGCCGCCGCACGGTGCAAGGTAAAGATTCAGGCTTTTTCATCAGAGATTATGCATATAGTTTGTTGGATTCTTTCCCTGGTATTGCTGTACAAATCTTTAAGAGATAAAGAAGTTAAGCTACCCTGGGTGCTGAGGTTCTGGTGGATATCCAGCTTCTTGCTGTCATTTGCATCTGCTGTTTTTGATGGGAAGAATATAGTGAATAATCATGAAAGCCTAAAACTGCGAGACATTGCTGATGTCCTGAATCTTGTTGCTTCCACCTGCTTATTAGTATTCTCGATTCGAGGAAAAACAGGCTTAGTTTTCGACATGCCTAATGGCATTACTGCCCCACTGCTGAATGGAAAGACTCAGAAAAATGTTGATGACAAACTAGAATGTCCATATGGAAGAGCCACTCTTCTTCAATTGGTAACCTTTTCATGGCTCAATCCTTTGTTTGAGGTTGGGTATAAGAAGCCACTTGATCAGGAAGAAGTTCCAGATGTTGATTTCCGGGACTCTGCCCATACTCTTTCTCCTTCTTTTGATGAATGCCTGGATCGTGTTAGGAGAAGAGATGGAACTACAAATCCATCTATCTATAAGGCGATTTATTTTTTCGCGAGAAAGAAAGCTGCTATCAACGCCCTTTTTGCAGTTATAAGCGCAGTATCATCCTATGTTGGTCCCTATCTGATTAATGATCTTGTGGAATTTCTTAGTGATAAAAGTTCCAGGAGCTTAGGGAGTGGTTATCTACTAGCATTAGCTTTTCTAAGTGCAAAGTTGGTTGAGACCATAGCTCAGAGGCAGTGGATATTCGGGGCTCGCCAGTTAGGCCTCCGGTTAAGAGCTGCTCTGATATCACATATATACCAAAAGGGCCTAGTCTTATCAAGCACTTCGCGTCAAAGCCGGACAAGTGGAGAAATCATCAACATTATGAGTGTAGATGTCCAAAGAATAACAGATTTCATGTGGTACTTGAACATCCTTTGGATGTTGCCTATACAAATCTCTTTGGCTGTTTATGTGCTACATAACAATCTGGGATGGGGATCAATGGTGGCTTTAGCTGCAACTCTGACAGTGTTGTCTGGCAACATTCCATTAACTAACATTCAAAAGAGATTTCAGGCTAAGATAATGGAAGCGAAAGATGAAAGAATGAAAGCTACTTCAGAAGTTCTTCGCCACATGAAGACCATAAAGCTTCAAGCCTGGGACAGCTATTATTTACAGAAATTAGTAAGTTTGAGGAAAATTGAGTACGATTGGCTGTGGAAGTTACTAAAGCTGCTAGCACTAACAGCTTTCATATTCTGGGGATCTCCTGCTTTTATTTCTGCAGTGACTTTCATTGGATGTGTGTTATTAGGTATTCCTCTAACTGCGGGGCGAGTTTTATCTGCATTGGCCACATTCCGAATGCTCCAAGACCCTATATTTAATCTGCCCGATTTATTATCTGTCATTGCTCAAGGGAAAGTTTCTACGGATAGAATTGCTTCTTACCTTCAGGAAGATGAGATTAAGCCTGATGCAGTGTCATCGACTCCTAAAGACCAGTCGGAATTTTCAATTCATATAGATAATGGAAAATTTAGTTGGGATAATGATCCAAGAACTGTAACACTTGATGCAATCAACTTGAAGGTGAAAAGAGGAATGAAGGTAGCCATTTGTGGGACTGTTGGATCAGGAAAATCCAGCTTGCTATCATGTATCCTCGGAGAGATGTCAAAACAGTCAGGATTTGTGAGGATCAGTGGTACAAAGGCATATGTTCCCCAATCTCCATGGATATTGACTGGAAACATACGAGAAAATATTCTATTTGGAAGTCCATATAACCGTGACAAGTATCTCAGGACAGTTGAGGCATGTGCCCTGACTAAAGACTTCGAGCTTTTTTCTGCTGGGGATTTAACTGAGATTGGAGAAAGAGGGATAAACATGAGTGGTGGCCAGAAGCAAAGGATACAAATTGCTCGCTCTGTCTATCAAGATTCTGATATTTATCTCCTTGACGATCCTTTTAGCGCCGTGGATGCTCATACAGGCACACAACTCTTCAAGGTCAGTAGATTTTTTTTTTAATTTTTTTTTCATCTGTGATTGCACTTTTTGCTAACATTGGATTGTATTTTGTGCTAAAGTCTTGAATGGGAAACAGGATGATTAACATCCCTATTATAAATGTTTTATTAGTTCCTTTCAAACTTCAAAGCATCCTTGCAATATTTGGCTTCATATGCAAAAAGAAAAAAAAAAAAACTGTGAATGGTTCAAGATTCAGGGTTGATGCTAGATAAAACTGTCTTGATATGAGAATTTTGTGTAATATATACAGGACTGTTTGATGGGGATCCTCAAGGACAAGACTATAGTGTATGTTACGCACCAAGTAGAATTTCTTCCGGCTGCAGACCTCATCTTGGTAAGTGAAAGACTGCAATTATCTAATTCAGCACTTCCTTAATGTATGCATACTGAGATACTCATTGTCAAAGTTAAAGCTCTCACCTTTTACTTGTCAATAAAAAGATTTCTTTAATATGAGTATGTTTCCAGTACCTGTTTGTTGTGGAAACTTGTATATGCTTTGCTGACATTGGCCATGAATAGATTTTCAACCATTTTGAAGGAAAATGTTATACACACTTTGGTAGAACATTAGCGTTGAGGCACTTCTTTACAGTTTTCCCTTCTTTTTAGCATACAAGAGACTCAATCTTCGGTTTCAAATGTTCAAAATGATAGCCTATACATTTTACAGGTAATGCAAAATGGAAGCATTGCACAAGCTGGTTCATTTGAGGAACTTCTACAACACAATGTTGGATTTGAAGCGCTTGTTGGTGCTCACAACGAGGCTCTAGACTCAATTCTAACAGTTGAGAGCTCAAGCAGGACGCTGGATCATGCGATAAGCGATGGTGAATGCACTACCGATCCCAGTTCAAATGCAGAATGTCCAGTCACAAAACAAGAGTCTGAGCACGACCTTGGTGTAGAAATAACAGAAAAAGATGGAAGGCTAGTGCAGGAGGAAGAAAGAGAGAAAGGAAGCATTGGGAAAGAAGTTTATTTATCTTACTTGACCACAGTTAAAGGTGGTGCTTTAGTGCCGCTGATTCTGTTAGCCCAGTCTTCATTTCAAGTGTTGCAGGTGGCCAGCAATTACTGGATGGCATGGGCTTGTCCAGCTGGGAGTGCTGAACCAGTAAAGGGGATACATTACGTTCTCTTAGTTTACGTTCTTCTTGCTGTTGGAAGTGCGCTTTGTGTCCTCATTAGAGCATCCCTGGTGGCTGTAACAGGCCTTCTGACCTCACAGAAGCTCTTTAATAACATGCTATATAGTATAATTCACGCTCCTATGGCATTCTTTGACTCGACTCCAACTGGAAGAATTTTAAACAGGGTGAGTAATCATATTTAAATTCAATGGAATTATGAATATTTATAGATTAAAGATTTGAATCTTCAATATATTGCTTGAACAGGCATCAACAGACCAAAGTGTGCTAGATTTGGAGATGGCAAATAAATTAGGTTGGTGTGCATTTTCCGTGATTCTGTTGCTTGGAACCATAACAGTGATGTCACAGGTAGCTTGGGAAGTGTTTGTGATCTTCATTCCGGTTACAGCCATCTGCATTTGGTACCAGGTAACATATTCACACCACTGAATCTGTAAGAAGTTAGTTTCCTCTGCAAAGAAATTGCTCCATGCATGTATCCTATGAGCTGTTTTTCATTACCTATTCCGTAGAAACCTCAGCTGAACAAAAAAAAAAAGAAAGAAATACCTGTGCCTTTTGGATTTATTCTCTACTAAAAGTTCTCATGGAAGAAGTTCTAAGGAAAATGTGATGTCATTCTATACCCGTTTCACCTTGTACAATTAGCGTTAGTGATTTGTCACAAGTGTGCTTTACTTAACCTTCAAATTTTTCATCAAATTTTCAGCGTTATTATATTCCAACGGCAAGAGAACTGGCACGTTTAGCAGGGATACAGAGAGCTCCAATTCTCCATCACTTTGCTGAATCACTGGCCGGAGCAGCAACAATTCGTGCTTTTGACCAGAAAGATCGGTTTATTTACTCGAACCTTTCTCTGATTGACAACCACTCAAGGCCTTGGTTTCATAATGTATCAGCAATGGAGTGGCTTTCTTTCAGATTGAATCAGCTATCCAATTTTGTTTTTGGCTTCTCCCTAGTTCTGCTGGTGACTCTACCGGAGGGAATTATTGTTCCTAGTAAGTAAAATATATTGATGTATCACAAATTCCTCGGTACATATGAATAATGCTGATAACAAACATCTAAACCAGCATTTTTAAATTCTGCGTTAAGTTAATGAGCTCCTTAGGGCACGTCGACATCAGACAGCCTCTGGTGCTGATCCTCTCAAAGACTAATCTAGTGAATGTTTTACAGGCATTGCAGGGTTGGCAGTAACTTACGGCATCAACTTGAATAGTCAACTTGCATCAGTTATATGGAATATGTGCAATGCAGAAAATAAAATGATATCAGTTGAAAGGATTCTCCAGTATTCTAGCATTCCCAGTGAAGCACCTCTGGTCATTGATGACTCCAAACCACCAGAAATTTGGCCAGAAACTGGAACAATCCGGTTCACAAATTTGAAGGCAAGCAGAAATCTAAAGTTTTCGTGAATTCATAGCAACTCTCAATATTACCTAATCTGTTGTCCTTGACTGTTTGATATCTTTAGTTTTACATAATCAATTACATGTATCTGGTGTTTTGATGGAACCATGTAAACTATGTACACAGATCCGGTATGCTGAACATCTACCATCGGTGTTGAAGAACATAACTTGCACATTTCCAGGGAAGAAGAAAGTCGGTGTAGTTGGAAGGACAGGAAGTGGGAAATCAACCCTGATACAAGCCATTTTCAGGATTGTTGAGCCTACGGAAGGAAACATTCTAATTGATGGAGTGGACATTACGAAAATTGGGCTTCACGACTTGAGATCAAGGCTTAGCATAATACCCCAAGATCCTACATTGTTTGAAGGAACTGTAAGAGGAAACCTTGATCCACTAGAACAACACTCTGACAATGAGATTTGGGAGGTAAAATTTGTTGCTTAGAAACGAACTCGCTTCATATGCTAATGTAGGACAGACTAACTGAGAACAGGTTTACAGTTCCGCGTCACTAACACAGCTCTTATCTAATAATGCTAGGCGTTAGACAAATGCCAACTAGGCGAATTGGTGCGTGAGAAGCCAGAGAAGCTCGAATCTATGGGTAAATCATTTGTTCCTTCTATTATGTTTTGTAATTCAGCACTGAAAATTGTAGCCTTGAGTTAAACTCTTACAAATGGCCATATTACAGTGGTTGAGAACGGCGAAAATTGGAGTGTTGGACAAAGGCAGCTATTTTGTCTAGGAAGAGCATTGCTGAAGAAGAGCACAATCCTTGTCCTGGATGAAGCAACAGCATCAGTTGATTCTGCAACAGATGGTACCATTCAGAAGATCATCAGTCAAGAATTCCAAGATCGAACCGTTGTTACAATAGCCCACAGAATCCACACCGTTATCGACAGTGATCTTGTCTTGGTCCTCAGTGATGGTAAAGTACACAAAAACAAAACATCTGGCATAGGTTTTTTTCAATTTTTTTCCACCACAACTTTCAACATTATGTTTGATTCTATGTTCACTTTTGTTTGAACAGGAAGGATAGCGGAATTCGACACCCCTGCAAAGCTACTGGAAAGAGAAGATTCATTCTTCTCAAGATTGATAAGAGAGTATTCCCACAGATCACAGAGTTTCAGTGGCTTTTCCAAGTCTCAAGGCTAACTACTTGTATCTGAAAACACTTGAAATGAAATCCAAAAGAAAGCAGAAGGATGATGAATGACCAGAAATAAAAGCAGAATGAAATGCAGCAGCAAGAATCATTTCTTGACATCATCTCCAAAGCTAAAAATATGACTGCATTATCATAATTGATATCAGGAAAAGATCACCTGAAGAGGCTGATCAGAACAAATGTCATTATTTGACTACTAGCTAGATATGTATCATTTTTGGCTGCCATATACTTTATTGTGCGCGCAATATTCCAAATTTGACCCCGTAAAATCTGTATTCAGAAATTGAATTTACCTTTATCAAATTGTTAGTAAAGCAATGTTAAACATTTTTAGACATTCCATGTTTTGAAACGTTCTCTTGAACAAAACAAGCGCATCATTAAAGGGAAACAGATTCAATAACTCAGTTTCCAATCCATAATCAAATAGTTTAACAACGAGAGGTACCAAGTTTTGAATTGAAATTTTATTAGCTCTAAACGATTATCATCGGGCTCTAAATACTAGCTAAAAATGACACCAAAAGAATATGCAACTAATTATGTGCGACTTGCAGTCTTGCAGCGCAAGCAATAAAGAATAGTCGAAGAGTCAAAAAGAAAATTTAGAGATGTGGACAGTGGGCCCCACCCTGCAAACAATAGTGGGGGTGATTAGGATCTACAATAACTTTTCCATCGGGTATATACCAATGTAAGGCCTTATTACCCATTAGTAGTAGCAAAAAATTAGTTCATTGTCTTACGATGAAACATTTTACTCCTTCCGTCCCATAATTATTATTCAGTTTGAGTTTTCAATTATAGTTCAAATTGTACTAAAATTAAAATCTCAAACTGGACAATAATTTTGGGACAGAGGGAATATTCATTTTGTCTTAAAATTATTATGGTTTTCATTTTAGGACGGGAGTAATGTTTTCAAATACCGTCAATTGGATGGGATTAAATAGCTTAGGCAGTAGTCGGCGCGCTCTTGAATAACACTTCTTCCATTTTAATTTGTAGGTCGTTTTACGTTTGGAGAGATTTTTCAAAATATAAATCGTTTTACAAATTCTAGGCAAATTAATAACTATTTTTTCATCCACAATAATGATGCTAATCTATTTTCATTTAGTCTTATTTATAGTTACAATGTAATTAATGAAGGATAAATTAGATATTTAACATATAAATTAATTGTTAGATATTTATCTCGTTAGTTTACATGCCAAGTCTAAATTGATTTACATTTGAAATGGAGAGATTTTTTTTAAAAGGTGAAATGGAGAGGTAAGAATTAATAACACCTAAATAATTGACTAATTTCTGAAAGTTTCTTCCCTTTGATTTCTCTTTTCTGTGGAGTCTCACACTGGGAGACACATGGTTTAGTCTTTTAATCTAAATAATCATAATAGCTCCAGCTTCAGTCCAAAAAAAGAATATATATATCAAATCAACAATTGTACTTTAATTTTTTTTTTTTTTTACGTATATTAAAAGGGTCCGCCTCCTGCATATTCCTTGAGCTTTCTTCATCTTGCTTCCGTAACTCATTTGACATTTGTCCATCCAGTAGCTAGTTTTCACTCTCTCTCACACTGAATTAGCAAAGAGATTTAAAACTATGGTTTTATATAGCTTAATTAATGATTTGCAATTTAGCATAGTTCAGTTGATTGCTTTTGGGATTGATCGGAAGAGAAGCCATTGAAACTGGAGAGAAGGGAACTTTGGTGAAGCAATGTTCACTTCTGGTGGCTCCCAAAGTAAGCTTTGTTTATTTCACTCAGTTTTCTTCTCCGTATACATGTAGTCTATATAGGATATAAATTGGTGTTATTCTGTAAAGATTAATTTGGGTGGGAATTTGGGTAATGGATGTTCTTTTTTTTGGTGTTTATTCTCTAAGAACTCACAGAAGACAGATCCCATATATATGTGTGGTTTTTTGTGCATGTGTGTGTGTGTGTGTGTGTGTGTGTGCGTGTTTTTTTTTCTTCTTTTTTTTTTTTTTTGTACGTTTTCAACAAATGGATGGAAATAAGTCAACAACTTGCTCCTTTGCCGATTGAGGACGAGACGTTACTTTATCGGATATCATGGCGGGAAAACAACGTGGACTAATGAATGCTGATCGACTTTCTGCTATTTTTTTTTTTTTTTATACTCTTTCAATAACCGACATCGGAAACCAGACTTGTGAAGAAACTTCAAGCAATGGAATCCTTTGGCTTAAAACAGAAAGGTTTTATCAAGTTGAATGCTTTATGGCATGCATTCTAGTTATCCCCAAAAAAAAAAAACAAAAAAAAGAAAAGGGGAAGATTTCTCTGGCCAATTATCCCAGGAGAAGAACTGCTTATTATCTGGGCGGCCTGCAAAGCTTTAGGCTAGTATGCTCTAATTCTTTACTTCAAGCTGTTAATTTGATTTTTTTTTTTTTCCAGTGCTTATTACCTCTTCGAATTATCCAACCCATTTTGCTGAATGTTACTCCCATTTGAATGCGAAATTTCACAGTAGAGTTAAATATGATCCAGAAAAAATTTATCATGAGCATCAAATGGTCGAGAAAATGCCGCTACGAAAATTTGTGCTGTTTTGTTTTTTCTTTATTTTTTTTCCTCTTGTGTTAATGCTGTCGATTTGTACTTCCATGGCAGGTCTTGATGATTTACAGGTTGATTCAGTATGGCCCGAGTTCATTTCTTCATCATGTTTAATAGAAGAAGCCAGCATTGTGCTACAATTTGGTTTCTTAGGAGTTTTTCTGCTCCAATTCATAGGAAACGTGTTCGAATCACGACATAAAGGCAGGGAAGATGCTATCAGCGCTGAAAAATTTGCTGTTGGGGCAAGGGTTGGCCTTAGTTACAAGTTGATCAGTGCTTGCTCCACTGTACTGATAGGAACTCATTTTTTTATGCTGCTAATGCTGCAGAATGATGATGCCTCTCGCTGCAAGGTAAAGTTCCTAGCTTTTTCGTTCGAGATCTTGCATATTCTGTGCTGGGCTGTTTCTCTAGCTATATTGTACAAAATTTTAAGAGATAAACATGTCAAGCTACCTTGGGTCCTGAGGGTTTGGTGGATCAGCGGCTTCTTGCTGTCAATTGTATCTTTAGTCCTTGATGGTGGTTATGTAATACATAATCACGAAGACCTCAAAGTGCAAGACTTCACTGATGTCCTAAATCTTCTTGCTTCCACCTGCTTATTTGTTGTTTCGGTTAATGGGAAAACAGGGTTAGAGTTTGAAATTCAAGTGGGCATTACTGCCCCACTACTGAATGGAAAGACTGGAAATGATTTGGAAGAAAATTTGGGATGTCTTTATGGAAGGGCTACTCTTCTTCAACTGATAACCTTTTCTTGGCTCAATCCTCTGTTCAAAATTGGGTATGAGAAGCCTCTTTATCAGGAACAAGTTCCAGATGTTGATTTCAGGGACTCTGCTCATACTCTATCCCCCTCTTTTGATGACTGCTTAGATCATGTGAAGAGAAAAGATGGAACAACAAACCCATCTATCTACAAGGCACTATACATATTTGGGAGAAAAAAGGCAGCAATTAACGCCTTTTTCGCAGTTATTGGTGCCGCTACATCCTATGTGGGTCCTTATCTGATTAATGATCTAGTAGAATTCCTAATTAATAAAAAGTCCAGGAGTTTAAGAAGTGGCTATCTGCTTGCGTTAGCTTTTCTAAGTGCAAAAATGGTAGAGACTATAGCTCAGAGGCAGTGGATATTTGGGGCTCGCCAGCTTGGCCTCCGGTTAAGAGCTGCCCTCATATCTTGCATATACCAAAAGGGCCTAGTTTTGTCGAGCACTTCACGTCAAAGACGTACAAGTGGAGAAATCATTAATATTATGGGTGTAGATGTTGAAAGAATCTCAGATTTCATTTGGTACATGAACATGATCTGGATGTTGCCTATACAGATTTCCTTGGCAGTCTATGTGCTGCATAACAACCTAGGATGGGGATCGCTTATAGCTTTAGCTGCAACCCTGACAGTAATGTGTGGCAACATTCCATTAACTCGTACTCGAAAGAGATTTCAGGGAGAGATAATGAAGGCAAAAGATGACAGAATGAAAGTCACGTCTGAAGTTCTCTGTGTTATGAGGACAATTAAACTTCAAGCATGGGACAATTATTTTTCGCAAAAATTAGAAAATCTGAGGAAAATTGAGCACCATTGGCTGTGGAAGTCGCTAAGATTGCAGACAATCATAGTTTTTATCTTTTGTGGATCACCAAGTTTTATCTCTGGGGTGACTTTTGTTGGATGTGTATTACTGGGAATTCCTCTGACTGCAGGACGAGTGTTATCTGCATTGGCGACATTCCGGATGCTCCAAGATCCTATGTTTAAACTACCAGAGTTACTTTCAGTCATTATTCAAGGAAAAGTTTCTGCAGATAGAATTGCTTCTTATCTCCATGAAGATGAGATTCGGTTCGACTCATTGTCATTTATTGCTAAAGAGAAAACAGAATTTTCGATTGAGATTGATAATGGTAAATTCAGTTGGGATAATGATTCAAGCAATGCGACACTTGATGGAATCAACTTGAAAGTGAAAAGAGGAATGAAGGTTGCCATCTGTGGCACTGTTGGATCAGGAAAATCCAGCTTGCTTTCATGTATACTTGGAGAGATGTCAAAACATTCAGGGATTGTAAGGATTAGTGGTACAAAGGCATATGTCCCACAGTCTCCGTGGATATTGAATGGACACGTTAGAGAAAATATTTTATTTGGAAGTCCATTTGATAATTACAAGTATCTTAGAACAGTTGAGGCCTGTGCCTTGAGAAAAGATTTTGAGCTTTTTCCTGCTGGGGACCGAACTGAGATTGGAGAAAGGGGAATAAACATGAGCGGAGGCCAGAAGCAAAGGATACAAATTGCTCGAGCTATGTATCAAGATGCTGATATATATCTTCTTGATGACCCCTTCAGTGCTGTGGATGCTCATACAGGCACACAACTCTTCAAGGTCAGCAGATCTAGTATTGCTCTCTCATTGTAGTTTTCTACTTTGTTGTGTTCTGTATATATAATTGGACATACTGAATGTCAGATTTGCTCTGTTGATGCTTCATCAGTTGAGTATCCTCCGATGTGTGAACAGATACTAGGAGAATACTGAGCTTTTTTTTTTGATGCCACAGAAACTTCTTCATATGAACATAGTGTGAAATGTATGCAGGACTGCTTGATGGGGATCCTCAAGGAAAAGACTATTATTTATGTAACCCACCAAGTAGAGTTCCTTCCAGCAGCGGATCTTATCTTGGTAAGTGAAATACTGCAAAAATCTTTCACCATCTTTGTTCATGTTCACATATTTAGTCCTCTAAGTTGATGTTTTCACCCGTACTTATTGATTCATTCTTATTGGTAAATTTCAAATATGTTCCCTGCAATGAAAAGATAAAGAACTAGATGATTTGCTGAGATACTGGATAGTCAAAGTATTGGAAGTTAACTGTAGAGAATGATTTTCCTCATGTTACTGGTCAAATAGACTTTAATAGACTAGCAGCATGGAGGTGCTTGTTTATGTTTTAACTGCTCTCCGGAGTTTAAAGTTGGTTCAATGTTAAAGGTTCAAAATAATGGCCTATGATATTTATAGGTAATGCAAAATGGAAGGATTGCACATGCCGGTTCGTATGAAGAACTTTTGGAACACAGTTTGGGATTTGAAGTCCTTGTTGGTGCTCACAACCTGGCTCTACAATCAATTACAACAGCTCAGAACTCTAATATAACATTAGACACAGATCTCAATTCCACTTCAGAATTTTCACAAACAAAACAAGATTCCAAGCAAAACCAGTGTCTGGAAATAACAGAACAAGATGGGCGACTCGTGCAGGAAGAAGAAAGAGAAACAGGAAAGATTGGCAGAGAAGTTTATTTATCTTACTTGAACATAGTTAAAGGGGGTGCTTTGGTGCCAATAATTTTACTGGTTGATTCCTTCTCTCAAGTGTTGCTGGTTACCAGCGATTACTGGATGGCATGGGCTTGTCCCACTGGAAATGTTGAACTAGTGACTGGGATGCGTTTCATTCTACTTGTGTACATTCTTCTTGCTGTTGGAAGTTCATGTTGTGTGCTTATCAGAGCAAGATTGGTGGCTTTCGCAGGCCTTCTGACTTCGCAAAAGCTCTTTAGCAACATGCTAAATAGCATCATTCATGCTCCTATGTCATTCTTTGACTCGACTCCATCTGGAAGAATTTTAAACAGGGTGAGTGTACATGTGTAGATGGAATAGAATTATGTATATCTGTGAATAGAAAAGTTTAATCACTGTTTTGTGACATGAACAGGCATCAACAGACCAAAGTGTCCTAGACTTACAGTTACCAAGTAACTTACATTGGTGTGCGGGGTCAATGATTAAATTGCTTGGAACCATCATGGTGATGTCACAGGTTGCATGGGAAGTTTTTATCATTTTCATTCCGATCACAGCAATTTGCATTTGGTACCAGGTAAAATCTATCATCTGATTCAGTAGTAAGTCAGTCTTTTCCATAAAAAAACTTTGCTCCATGCATACAAACTATAACCGTCATTTTGATGTTAAGTTTTGTGTAAACCTACAAATAATATTTCATTCAAGTCATAGTGAGAAACCGAGTATGGGCGCCTCTCTCTCTCGTTTTTTTTTTTTAAATCAGAAAAAATAATGGGCACCTCTTTGGATTCTCTCCCCTACACCCCCCCCCCCCCCCCAACCCCCTTCCCCTTGTCTTCTACATTTCCACAGAAAGAGAAAACATATCCCAAGATAAATGAAGTAAAGGTATTTCTGCCACAGATTAAACTTTAAGAGGCGATATAGGATGACATTGTAGAGCTTATTAATGGTGCACATGAAGCATTAATTGTTAAACTTGTGCTAAACTTAACCACAATTGTTATTCATCAATTTTTAGCAATATTATATTCCAACCGCTAGAGAGCTGGTACGTTTAGCTGGGATAAAGAGAGCTCCAATCCTCCATCACTTTTCTGAATCACTTGCTGGTGCAGCAACAATTCGAGCTTTTGATATGAAGGGTGGCTTCATTTACTCAAACCTCTGTCTGATCGACGACCATTCAAAACCATGGTTTCACAATCTATCAGCCATGGAATGGTTTTCTTTCCGATTGAATCAGCTATCCAATTTTGTATTTGGCTTCTCCCTAGTATTGCTTGTGTCACTACCAGAAGGAATCATAAATCCCAGTAAGCAAAATAAATTGATGCATTGCAGATTTAAAAGTAATTGCATGTTACTATTAATCTCTAGTGTTTGGCAAAATAACGTTTAATGGGTTTGAAAATGATTTCATGAAAGAACACCAGAAAAGTAAATGAGGTCCTTTTCACTCCACAATATTTGGCACCTTTGAGTGACGATCCTTCCAAAGCCTGATCTACTGAAATTTCCACAGGCATTGCTGGGTTAGCAGTAACTTATGGCATCAGCTTGAATGGTCAACTAGCTGAATTTATTTGGACTCTTTGCAATGTAGAAAATAAGATGATATCATTTGAAAGGATTCTTCAGTATTCTAATATTCCAAGTGAGGCGCCCCTGGCAGTTCAAGATTGCAGACCACCAGAAATTTGGCCAAAAACTGGGACTATCCAGTTCATAAATTTGAAGGCAAGCAGAGTTCAATAGTTCTCAGAAATATTAATCTTAACTTTTGGTGTCAAATCATCTGGTGTGATAATTTATACAATGTAGTCATTCCTTACAAATTTCTTGATTCTTCTGTTCTTTATGGAACTATCTGTGCTATGCATGCAGATCCGTTATTCTGAACATCTACCATTTGTATTGAAGAACATAACCTGCACATTTCCTGGGAAGAAAAAAGTTGGTGTGGTTGGTAGGACAGGAAGTGGGAAATCAACCCTGATACAAGCCATCTTCAGGGTTGTTGAACCTACAGAAGGAAGCATTTTAATTGATGGATTAGATATCACAAAAATTGGGCTTCATGACTTGAGATCAAGGCTTAGCATAATACCGCAAGATCCCACAATGTTTGAGGGAACCGTGAGACGAAACCTTGATCCTCTAGAGCAGTATTCTGATAGTGAGATCTGGGAGGTAAAGTTTGTTTTGGAGACTAGAATGTGTTTCCTGTTTCTGAATGAATTTGCATCAGTTAAGCACGTCATTTGATATTCTGAATATCAATTTAGACCTATTTGTATGTAGTGCTTTGTTGTTTAGCTTTCAAAGTAGTCAACAACATCTACATTTCAATTTTTCAGACAGTGCATGCTGCATCTGGCAACATGTAGCCCTTGAATGGACTTAAACTGATGTAAAACTAAAAAAGGAGAGATATACTAATTAGTGTTGTATAGCTCATCACTAATGTGGTTCTTGTTCTACAATACTAGGCACTAAACAAATGTCAGCTAGGTGAATTGGTGCGTTCGAAGACAGAGAGGCTAGAATCTACAGGTAATCATTTTGCCTTATATCACCTTGGAGAATGCAATGCTGAACAATCCCCCTGTGAGTAAACCATACAAATGTTTATTGCAGTGGTGGAAAATGGAGAAAACTGGAGTGTTGGCCAAAGGCAACTATTTTGCCTTGGAAGAGCATTGCTGAAGAAGAGCACAATTCTTGTACTAGACGAAGCCACTGCATCTGTTGATTCTGCTACGGATGGTACAATACAGAAGATCATCAGTCAAGAATTTAAAGATCGAACTGTAATTACGATAGCTCACAGGATCCATACAGTTATCGATAGCGATCTTGTCTTGGTCCTTAGTGATGGTAAGGCAATATATCTCATATAGTAGTAACATCTTAAATATGTTGTTCCAGAAAAAAACAAAAAAGCTTGCTTTAGCCTTTAGCTCCGTCTTATTGCTACATAATTACTGTTGATTGAGCAGGAATGATAGCAGAATACGACACGCCAGGTAAGCTACTGGAAAGAGAAGATTCATTCTTCTCTAGATTGATAAGAGAGTACTCCCAGCGGTCACAGAGCTTTGGTGCCTTCTCCAAGTAACTTGTATAAGAAAACGCATTGAAGATCAAAGTAGCACAAAGCAGTACAATGAAGGAATGAGGCACATAATTCATGTGGATAATCAATGACTAGAAATTAAGGGAGAATCTATGCAGAACCCTGAATATTCATCCTAGATTTTGGTCTAATCATTCTAGATGGATATCATCTCCAAGCTAAATATATGTCTGCAGATTATACTGGATGTCAGAAAGATTCACCTAGAGAGTGATCTTAAATTGGCTACTAGTCATGCTTTCATTTTAGAATTGCTTTTAACTTATAAATCTTGCGCAAAGTGTCAAAATCAAGTTTGATTACCAATCTCACTTTATCAACTTATTAAGTAGTGAAATTCTCATATCCTGAGTGCATTAACCAAAATGTTTTGAGTAAAAGTTACTAAGTGAGGAAAGTAAATGATTTAGTAAAGCCATCGAAAGGAGCATAAATAAGTTTCTTTGTGGCAATGATCTCTTACTCTTTATATATATTTCATGTTGTTCTTCCGCCCATTTTGAATGTCGTTATATCATCTTATTAAGCAGATGAAGGATCCATCCAAGTTTAGATACATCTCATTCTCTTATGAAATATTCTCCCTCCTTAATATATGGTATTTTGATTTGTCCTAAATTTTATGAAGTATATTTTTTTTAATTGAAAATAAAACTTGAAAGATATTTTCTAATAAATGTAAAATTACATTTCTAATATTTTATTTTCAATTAAAAAAACATAGTAAATGAAGATTATTAAGATAAATCAAAATGTCTTAAGGACCGGAATCACCAAAATTTCCTTCATGAACAACAAAAACGGCAGATTCTTCTGCCCACCAAAATTAATTCAGTTTAATTGATAGAGCCATGCATCACATGGACTTAAAACAAAAATTAGAAACGATGAATGCCTTCATGAATTAGTTTGGCTATTGATTAATCAAATGCCAACAAAATTAGTTTTTTTTAAAAAAATGTATATTTTAATGTTGATAACACAAAAAAAAAAAAAACAAAAAAAAAAGTCCATATAGAATGAAATTAGAGCAGTTATATATTTTAGTATACTTATTCATTTGCGCTCAAATATATACCACAACATTGCAAGAAATAATCATCCAAACGAGAAAGCCATATAGTATTAGAAAAAAAAAAAAGAAAAAAAAAAACAAAAAATTTTGAAATTCGAACGGTGCCCAATTTCCCATTCTTCTTTGTTCTTCTTCTTCCTCCCGATTTAGGGTTTCTGAAATTTACCCCTCAACTTCGATTTCTTCCCCTTTCACCTTCTTTTCTTTAAAACTACAAAATTAAAGGTCAAGGGCATCACAGATCCACTCATCTGATCCAAGTCGAATCCGATCCACCAGGCCTTTAAATGAACTTAACTCAGCTCGCCTAGGGTTTCCTTTCACTCGTTATCCACACACACACACACACACACACACACACACACACACCACTCTTCTCCTTGCTCCTCTTTCAACTCCACGGAACAGCTCCACTTTATCCCAGCTCAAGGTATCTCTCTTCGTCGACCCTTTGATTTCTCCTTGTTTTGTCCTCTCTTTCTGTTGTTTCGGAGGTTTATTAAGGGTTTTTTTACTTGCATTTATTGCGTTTTTGGGGGGTTTGTATGGTGGCTTTATGGATTTTTGTTGTGTTTCCTTTATCTTCCTTCGATTTTAGATCGGGTTATGTGCTTGTTTTGCTTGACGGCTAACTTGCTGGGTTTTCATGGGTCGGGCTTTTCTGAGGGGTTTGAACTTGTTTGGATTAAGGGTTTTAATAGGGCAAAGTTTTTTGGGGTTGGTCAGTAACTTTATCCTTTTGGTATTGGTGGTTTTATTTATATGAAAATGAAGACGAAGTTGTAGTTGTTTGTGCTTTTTCTTAACTTAAAGAGAATATTTTTTGGTTCAGATTCTATCGCTGCTGTTTGATAGTTAGTGGAAATTTAGATGAACATGTAAGGGGTCACTTTGGATGGAACATAGCATTAGTCTTCTCCCCTTAATATTATACAGTTATTTGCGTCAATTATAGGTGGGTGCTAATGTTCCATATTCTGATGCCCAATATGGTTTTTAACATTTACCATGTTATTGTCAGGCCTCTGCTTAAGCATTCTAGTCAATCTCTCAATTATTTGAGGAAGGAATGGGGACGAATTCTTCTGATTCAAGCAGTAGGAGAGGCAGGAAACAGAGGAGGAGAGAGAGACATGAGCGTGGTGAGGATATTCATCACAGGAGTAAGGAATCTGGGGATGTATATGGCAGCATTGAGGATAAGAATGTGGGCAGTGATTGTGACACTGATAGGAAAAATCAGAGGAGCAGGAGTGATAGGAGGGACAGGGAAAGAGAGAAGAGACGAGAGGATGAGCGTAAAGATCGGAGAAGGCACTGGGATGAAGGGGAGAAGGAGACAAACACTAGAAGGAAAGAGGAAGATAAGAATGGGGAGCGAGAAGTTGCTGGAGGTCAGGTGAATGTTAAACCTAATGTGGTCCAGAAACCTGAGAATTTGGGCAGGAGTGGCGGAGTTTATATTCCTCCATTCAAGCTGGCGAGGATGATGAAGGAGGTGGAGGACAAGGCCAGCTTGGAATATCAAAGAATGACATGGGACGCTCTGAGGAAGAGCATAAATGGGCTTGTTAACAAAGTTAATGCTATAAACATTAAAAATATTATCCCGGAGCTCTTTGCTGAAAATTTGATCAGAGGGAGAGGCCTGTTTTGCAGGTCATGCATGAAATCTCAAATGGCATCCCCTGGTTTTACTGATGTCTTTGCTGCTTTAGTTGCTGTCGCAAATACAAAATTTCCTGAAGTTGGAGAGCTCCTACTTAAAAGGATCATATTACAACTGCAAAGGGCCTACAGGCGCAATGATAAGGTACGTTATCCATTTAATTGATGTTCTGTATTAATGCTTATTCGTTGACCATTTTTTATCTATTAACTGACCACTTGTTGAATTGATGTAGCCTCAATTGCTGGCAGCTGTGAAGTTTGTAGCTCATCTGGTGAATCAGCAGGTTGTTCATGAGCTTATTGCTCTTGAACTCCTGACAGTTTTGCTCGAAAACCCCACAGATGATAGTGTTGAGGTTGCAGTTGGATTTGTGACGGAATGCGGCTCCATGCTACAGGACCTCTGCCCAAAGGGATTACATGGTCAGTTAAAGTTGCTGCTTTGTTTTTCTTTGTTGTGGTTTGTTTTGTATTCTTGTTGTTTCTTTCTTTTTCTTTTCTTTTTTTTTTTTTGAGAATTAAAACCATACTGTTTTGAAACCTACCTGATTGCTTCTTTTCTTTCACTCCTTTGCCAGAGATATATTGTGCCATAATTTATGTCTGCATTTCTTTTGTTGTAGATCTGTTTTATGTAACTATTTGGGTTTTCTAGATTCCCTCTTGATATTGTTTTCTAGATTTAGTTTTTGAAACCTATTCATGCTTCTAATTATGTGGAAAACTACTTGTTTTACTTTTCTGTATCTCCTTGCATATTCATAGGTAATCACTATTGTCAGTTAGCACATTGAGTGAAATCTCTATCATTACTTCTTCAAGTATTGGTGGTTTCTCCTTTGACATCTTCTCTATGGGTCATATATCTCCTTAGTCTGTTTGAATATGTCATGGTTTTATGTGATTTATGAGGAAAATTGTCGAGTTGACGTCTGCCAGATCTTTCCGCCTGTTTAAGTTTGTTACATTGGCGTTGTTTACAAGATCTTTTTCCATTGAATTACCTTCAAAATTTGAGATGGTTCAAGTGCTGCATCTTTGAGTGCCGTGTCAGCATTCAATGCAGGTATCTGGATTGAACAGTCTACCTGGATTAGTTCACTGCAACTGTAATAGTTCCAGTGAAACCAAAATTTGTGGGAGCTTGGAAAAGTAGAAACTATCATAGCTGCCTTAAGTACATTGTTTTAAAAGCTGGACAATACCGTGCAGAATAAGCTTATGCTGCAACTTATGTGTTTATTTCAGAATACATGTACTTTTATGACACTTATGTGCATTTGGTGAAAAGTTTTCTCAGTTACTGTTGAATTAGACCTGTAATTTGATGATGTTTCCCCTTTGTTGTCACAGTTCTTTTCGCTTTATTGTTCAGACACATAATTCCTAGCTGAATTTATGTCATTAGGTTATTGATGTATTTTGGTTCTTTTTCAATAGGTATCTTTGAGCGGTTCCGTGGGATTCTTCATGAAGGAGAAATAGATAAGCGGGTTCAATTTTTAATTGAAGGTCTTTTTGCTTTGAGGAAAGCAAAATTTCAGGTTCAGTGCTCTCATCTTAAATTCTCCCTTGTTTCCAACTTTCCGTTATATTGCTGGCTCTTTTCTTTGGATTATGGCTGGCTCAGCAAAGTAATTATATTAATTAGTTCACGCAATTATGTTGTACAGGGATATCCAGCTGTTCGCCCAGAACTAGACCTTGTGGAGCTAGAAGATCAATTAACTCATGAAATTTCTCTTTCAGATGAAATAGATCCTGAGATTGCTTTAGGTAACTGTGACATTCATTGTTGTCCACCCCCCCCCCCCCCCTTCCCCCGAATTGTCACTGTTTTGGAAGGTCTAATTGTGTTTGTTTGCTATTGATATGTAGATATTTTCAAACCGGATCCCAATTTCTTGGAGAATGAGAAGAAATATGAAGAACTTAAGAAGTCAATATTAGGTGATGAGTCTGATGATGAAGCTGATTCTGATGGGGAGTCAAATGATGATGATAGTGAGCCTGAAGAGGGATCTGAAGAAGAAGAAGAACGTATGAAAATACAGGATGAGACAGAGACAAATCTAGTTAACCTTCGGCGAACCATCTACTTGACGATCATGTCTAGTGTTGACTTTGAAGAAGCTGGTCACAAGTTGCTGAAAATCAAACTAGAGCCCGGCCAAGAGGTTTGTATTACAAGGCTTTCCCAAACTTTTCATGCTTTATGTGTTTGTGCTGAATGTATTTGCATGGTGGTATTTAGAACCTTTCTTATGCTATTGATTTGGCCTCTTTTTGTGCTCTTATTTCATATGTGAGTGGAGTTGGATACACTTTTCTTTGCTTCTTATTTGAGCTCCGTTCCAGCCAATTTTTTTTTGCTTCAGCCCACAACAACAACTACAACAAGCCTTTTTCCCACTAGGAGGGGTCGGCTATATGGATCGTATGTCGCCATCGTACTCTATCGGTGCATAAATCATCAGACAAATTTAAGAAAATGTGATAACGCTCGAGTTTTGATTTCGTGCAGTTTTTATGCATGAATCTGCTTGAAGAAGAATTAGCAATTGTTTTTTGTAGCTTTGTTTTAAAATTTTCTCTAGCTTCTGTTATAATTAATTGAGTGATGCATGATATCTTCCACTTCTTTAGTTTTACCATTTTAGATTGGCATGAATTACTCCACAGTTTTGTGACCCATTGCCGCCTCAGTTTTAATGGACCATTGCCTAAATACTTTTAGAGGCCAAATAGTTTGATAAAAAAGTTTCCCTGGTCTTCACATTAATTCGTTTTACTGAGTCTTCCAGTTTTAAGAATTCTTTATTTATGGAGAAGCTTTTCAGGCTTCTGATTTTGTTTTGACGACTTGCAGATGGAATTGTGCATTATGCTCTTGGAGTGTTGCAGCCAGGAGAGGACTTACCTTCGATACTATGGACTTCTTGGCCAACGTTTTTGCATGATCAACAAGGTTTATCAAGTGAACTTCGAAACATGTTTTGTGCAGCAGTATTCTATGATCCATCGGCTTGAGACAAATAAACTGCGTAATGTCGCAAAATTTTTTGCTCATTTACTTGGCACTGATGCTCTTCCCTGGCATGTCTTGTCCTACATAAGACTGACTGAAGAGGATACAACATCATCTTCCCGCATTTTCATTAAGATTCTCTTTCAGGTATTTCAACTATGCACAGATTCGTTGTGTTACAATGTTCTTCTTTTTTTTTTTTTTTTTTTTTGCTTAAACTACCTATTACCATATTCTTGGGTTCCCTTTTATTATGTTTCCTGAGAATTCTGATTTCAAGCGTATAGCTGCGATGGGTTTGGAGTGGTTCTAAATTTCTTCCTTTGTATTTGCAGGAATTGTCTGAGCACCTTGGTATTCGCCTGTTGAATGAGAGGTTGAATGACCCCATGATGCAAGACTCGTACGAGTCTATTTTCCCGAAGGATAATCCGAAGAATACTAGGTTTTCCATCAACTTTTTCACTTCAATAGGTTTAGGTGGAATCACTGAAAACCTGAGAGAGTACTTGAAGAACATGCCACGACTTATCATGCAACAACAACAAAAACCAGCCTCAGATGATGAGTCTGATAGTTCTGGTTCCCATGATTCAGATTCATCATCAAGCTCAGATGATAGTGATAGCGAAAGTGATAGTGGAAAAGATGATACACGAAGAAAGCGGAAAAGAAGAAGCTGAAGAGAAGAAAGCATTTGTCTAGTGGCACCTTATGGGCTATATTTTTACTGTGGTTCTGATTTTTATTTTTTTGAGCAGAGCATCTTGTACTCTCTCTATTCCAAAATAAGTGTCGTTCTAGAGTTTGTAAATAGTTTAAGAAACACTTAAATAGGGTAGTTAAATTACTAGAATATTCTCAACTAATCCTATTAAAATAATACTCACCAATAAATATTTTTTTTTCTTTTGAGGGTATGTTTGGAAATTTTTGACAAAAAAAATATTAGAATCGGAAAATGACACTTATTTTGGAATGGAGAGAGTATGATGTATTATTTTATTTTATTTTATTTTTGTTTATCTTCAAAGTTGAAAAACCCAAAATTATTTATCTAACTGGGGATTATTCAAGGGGCGACATCATAACTCAAGGGCATTTAGTTTGAATCTACTCTAACAGTCACATTGAATTTATTGGAGATTGCTTGAGAAGAGGGGGGTTTTTTTTTGAGTTTCTTTTCCTAAAGACAGAACCTTATGAAACGCATATCTTTCCTTCTACTGGAAATAAAACTTGAATGATACCCTGCTCCTTTGCTGTCATCTTCTTCCATTTGCAATGCAAGACTCTGATTCGGATCATTCTCTGAATTTTATGAAATATCACCTCTTCATTTCTTCTCTGACCCTTGAAGATTCTGCCATTTCGTTCTTCCCACGGGCAATAAATGCAAGCAACTGCAACTGCATACAAAATTTATTTCTTCATTATGGTTTGCTTCCACACATACAATAGCTTCTGTTTCCATTGTCTAAGCTGAACATGCCACTCCCCGATGCCTAGCCACGTTTTTACATTGCCGATCAATGTTCCTGTAAAAGAGCATGAGAAGAATAGATGATCTATGGACTCTTCTTGCTTTTCACACAAGCAGCAGCTTGTATCTTGCACTGGGATGTTCTATTTTATCAGTCTGTCTTTAGTCCAGATTCTCCTGCCAGATCAGCCAAACAATAAAGAGTGCTTGGAAGTATTAATTATAGACTAGATTAGGTTGGCAGCTACCATTTTCTCAGTTTTCCCCTGCAACTATCTGTAACCTGATGATATTGAGTACATTCCCTTCTTGTTGCCAATCCATTTCCCACCTTCAAACCCTTCTTTGGCTTTGTCCTGAGTTTCAGAATCTGTTTCCATGCCCAACTGCTATCATTTTTCCCTTGTATTTCCCATATAGATTGATTTTTGAGATATATTTCATGTGTCCACTTAACCCATAGGCTATCTTTCTTGTTGGCCAGCCACCATACTTGTTTGAGGATGGCAGCTTCATTCCACAATCTTGCATCATGAACATTTAATCCCCCCTTTGATTTCCTTTTACAGACTATATCCCAACCAACTAATGCAGAATATCTACTATTTTCCTTCACACCCCACAAGAATTTCCGTCATTTTCTATTCACAGTATCAGTGATTTTATGAGGTAAAATAAAAGTTGAAGCCTAGTATACATGCAAATTCAGCAACACAGAGTTAACTAATTGGAGCCTTCATGCATACGAGAGGTGGGTGTGCTCCAATATTTCAATATAGCTACTATTTTTTCCACCAGCACCTGGCATCAACTTGGTTCCACTTCTTTGGGATAAAGATACACCCAAGTATCTCATAGGGAATGTTCCTTCCCCAAAACCTATAAGTCTGCATATTCTTCTCCAAATCCTCTCAACTTGTTCTCTCCCTTTATTGTTCTTTCTCTACAGTTTTTCATATTTATTTTACAACACGTTATCAGTACGAATCTTTGTCCAACTGAGAAGATTTTAATTCATAGATCTGGGAGTGTGGTAAGTTGATTTTGATCCATAGAGCAAGAAGTGCAGTAAGCTTTTTCTTGTTTTATCTTTCTATAGGAAAATCTTACAACAGGGGAATTTATGATTTATCATGAATATTATATGATGTAATACAAATTTACTTCTGCAATATTAATTTTGTATATTGGATACAAGTAAGTGCTCCTGTAGTAACTATTTTTATTATTAATTTTCATGTATTGAATTTGCCCCGCTAGTAGCAATTTCATGAAAATATTCAAAGTGGTTTTCTTCACTTCCTGAAGCAAGTAGATTAGAATGTGCTAAAATATCATAGTCGTATATATCGACCACTTGAACTGGTATATATGAACAAAGATAGACAATATAAAAGTTATATCGATATGACAAAAAAGGTTAACGATTGATGCCTTTTGATTAGTGGAAGAATTCAAATCTGCATGTATAACAAGAAATTGCTCTTGGGGTAGCAGTTTATTATCTTTCTATTAAATACACCACTATGGTTTTGTTTAAAGAAATCACAATACTCTTTGATTTTGAGAATTTTCACTTCCTGAAGTAAGTGGACAATTACGTCATTTTACGAGTCAAATTGTGATAATGAATCTACTATAATATGGCAGTCACGTATAAAAATAATATTTTCTACCTGAAATGAAAGATTAATCACAATAACAATCAGAAAGTTGCTCATGAAGTAGCGATATAATTCTTGATAGTATTGAACAAAATATTGAGTTTTTATTGCAAATATTATTATACTCGTCCAAGTTGAACGACTGCATTTCTTGAAGTAATTGCGATTATCATGAAATTTAATAGTGGACAAATTGAAGTCCCAAATATAATTGGGAATTGGTAATGATACGAAAAGTATTTGGAATCACCAGAAGTGAGAAATTTTAATGAAATGAAATAAACCACCTGAAGTTGGAAAGATGAAGAGAGCAAAAAGATAAAGATCGCAAGAGCTATTATTATAGCATAAAATATCATCGCATACCTACTTTGTGCTAAGAACATATTGTTACTCTATGTAAAAAATCAAAAAGTTATCTTGTCAACAAAAGTGTTCCCGATATTCTTATGGATGTTAAAGAAGATCACCATGAAGGTGTTAGTTATATGTTCATATGGAAAGCATCCAGTAGTATTTTATTTTATGTTTTAGATTGGTAGTTTCCGTATGATATACTTTATTATTCCTTGTGATTTATGAATTTAAGCAATGCCATAATTTTTTTTGTTAGAACAAAATTATTTAAGTGCTCCTATAGAGCATATAGATGAAATTCTTCATTGGAGAAAAGCTCCTGAAGAGCGGAATTTGTTATGGCACATTATAATGGATTAAGTACTCTATAATTGAAGAGCATATGTAATTGAGTTCCACCATAAAGTTAGATGAATCTCCCGTAGAGTATCAACTTCAGGATATCTCTAACATTTTATGCCTGCTCCAGCAGAGCAAGAATATTTTGATAAAGTGAAAATAATTGAATAAACAAACGCTCCTATAGAGTAGAAATAATTTTTGTTAGAGTAATTGCTTCTATGAAGAAGAGATGTTTTGGCATAGTTGAATAGTAAATTCTTTATCTTCTCCAGAAGAGAACTTGTGAATTTGTACCTAGAAGAGTAAATAAAATATGCCATAAAATTTTGCTTGAATGTCAAAGATATTCGAGAAAAGATTTTCGAATATCATAAAATTGTTATCATACACTTGTACATTAAGAATACAGTTTCCAGAAGAAAAATTGTCTTAATCTTTGTTTTTTTTTTTTTGTGTTAAAGTGTTATACATGTATTACTATCGTTGGGTTTTATAGTAAACCGGAAGTTTACTAGGGAACCAGAAATTCACTTTTCGTACCAACAAGTCAAACCAGAAGTTTACTGATTATTATAAGTTTACACATTTGACATAACTAAGTTTGTGTTTTTTAAATTTGGAAACTATGAGTTTCTTCCAACAAATTAAATGATGTGCTGAAAGATTGTCATTTGTATGTTTATCATTAACTTGCAACCTGGAGTTTGTAAAAGTTAATTACCAACTTCAATTTAGTTATGTGTGCATTTTCATATTCTCTTATGAGAGAATTTTGATTTGGTAGTTCTGGTGCATGTATCACTCAATATCGGGATAAATGTTTCAATGATAAAACTTGAACATATAGTGCCTATAAAAGCAAAAGTGAGACGCTCCAGTAGAATCGCTCATTAAATGTGTTCAAAAGGAAAGTAAGCGCCCCCATATATATAATTGACAATGTGTTAAAACATAGAAAACATCAACCTTATGTATAAGACCAAATGGTCTTCATAGATATTCTCCCAGACATTGGTTTTTGGTCAGAATACATACATGTCCATCTGTAAAATTTAGATGTGCGATTTATATTAATTGATCCACCACAATACATACAAAGATGGAGACCCTGGAAGAGGTTAAGAATATATGCTGGATTTTGAACCTCCAGCCTTTGGGGTAATTGATATTGGGTTTTACTATTCGATTGACTCATTGTCTGTTTGACGAGTTAGTTACTCAAAAAGGAGATCTATTTACTACTCGATTGGCTGACTATTAGTTAGAAGAATTAGTTATCCCAACATCAGGGAGAAAAAGTAAAAACAGCCCATTCATAAATCAAATGAACGATATCATTATCTCATTAGATCCTTAATAATATGAACCTGAAGTTCAAGAGATAATGTTCAAAACCATATATTTATATGACCAGAATATGTCACTATATTACATGTAAAAGGTTGTTAATGTTTAAAATTTTGATGTTGCATCCCTGAAGAATCAAATACCACTATTGTTTAATCTAATGTCCATTTGATGAGTGGTAGAACCGTCAGTTCCAATAATAAAAATCCTCGTAAATGAGAATGTTTAGATCTATTGAGATATCAAATATGAGTTATTAGGATCCAAAAGGATCTTTAAAATTAAATAATTTTCCAATACGGTAAATAAACTTCCAGAAGAAGAATATAGGTATTTGGAAGACTTAATGATTGTGATATCTCAATACTAAAGAAAGATGGAATCGATCGTCAATAAAATGTCGATATAAAATTTGTTTATGCTGCAGCAGTTAGTAAAATGAATGAAAATAAGGATCATGAAGTGAAAGGCTGTTGTGAGTGCAAACATT